GGGGGGGGGGGGGGGGGGGGGGGGGGGGGGGGGCTGGCGCTCTGATTTCCCTGAGGGCAGCCGGGCAATCTGGGTACAAAAGACCAAAGGAAGGCCACCTGCCTTTTAATCGGAAGAAATCTCTGACCGAGGGACTCTTGCTACGGCCAGAGAGAGAAGGCCGCAGGTTGGATGCTAAGCTGACTGGATCCCAGCACACCTGCTCCTCCGTGGAGACCGGGATCAGGGAGGGAGGGAGGAAGGAAGGGGAGGGGAGGGGAGGGGAAAAACGCAAAGCAAGGACTATGCTCCTCGAAGTGCAGAGTCAGAGATGTGAGAGAACGGCCACACCATCCCTGTGCGCAGCTGCGGGCGGCACACACCAGTCACTGCCCCCCTCCCCTGATTACTGTCACCACTCTGAGTTCCTGGCACCCCAGGCCACTGGGTGGGCAGGCACAGCACCCCTCCGAGCTGGGTTTACTGCACAGGCCATCGCTTCCCAGAGAGCTGCTGGGGGCTGGGCAGGAGCTGGGACCAAGGGCCGGGCCCAGAGAGTGGCAGAGCGTGGCCCGTGGGCAGGGTGTGCACAGAAGGTCAGGCGGGGCACTCGGGCCAGAAGGGAGGTGGCAGGGGCGGCCGGTACTCACAGCGAGACGGTGATGTAGAGGAAGCTCCAGTTGGACAAGCCCACGTCAAGCGCCGTTGCCAGGGCTGTGGAGACAGGGCGCCCACCCGACACGCAGCCAGGGCAGGCCGGCGTGGGAGGGCCCGGGTTTAAACACTTCCGAGTGCCCCCTGCTCTGCCCCAAACACCCTGGCTTTCTCTGGGCCCTTGGGCCTTCCTTACACAGCAACTGAAGGGTTAACTCCTGGCCACAAAACGGAGGGGGATCCCCCTCCAGCATCAGGACTGTCCCCCCCCGCCCCCCGGAAGGACCTCAGGAGAAACTCCTCCGAGTGGCTTCTCCTCCCTCAGGACACAGGCATGCTCGTCCTGAAGGCCTGCGTCGCCCAGGATCTGTCCCTGGCACCCTCACCTTTCCCACTTCCCCTCACTCTTGCCGAGCCTCGGCGTCCAGAGACGCTTTCTGTTCCCGTTCAGACCTGCACACGCACTGAGCCCGCAGCCACTGGGGCCCAAGCTCTGGGGAGCCTCCCCTCTGGGCCTGGGTGGCGCCTCTGGGCTCCCAGGCGCCCCTCATCGTGCCACTGCCGCCAAGGCAGGGACGGGGCTCTGCTCACTGCCGTCTCCAGGGCAGGTGTCGGCTCGGTGTACAGGGCCAGACAACGACAAGGCCAGCGCGGTCTGGGAGCCTCCTCCGTGCGTGTGCGAGAGTGTGCACTGTGCACGCGTGTGCACGTGTGTGGGGGCTGGGGGGTACAGAAGGGGCAGAAACAGGGCTGGGGGGGCGGAGAGGAGTGAGGCGGGGAGGCTCCTTTCGACCTTGGCCTGTGGCTTTTCAAGCTGACCTCCTCCGCCCCCGCCCCAGGCAGGACCCGGGTAGGCCGCGCACCTGTGGGAGCGACTCTCCTGAGGTAGTCCGCCCAGCTCAGCACCACGCGGGCCCTGTGGCTGGAGCACTGCACCAGTGCCCTGGACAGGGCAGAGAACAGGAAGATCACGGCCAAGTGCAGCATCGTCATGAAGAGGGGGAAGTGGAAGCTCTATGGATGGAGCCCAAAGCACAGAGCGCCCGGCATGGGTTACAGCCTGGCCGCCCCTGCCCGTGCGGCTCCCCTCCCCCACCCCGGGCCCTCAGGGGACAGTGGTGCCAATTCGCTGGCTCGAGAGGGCTCTGCAGCAGCCTGAGGGGCTTTCACCCAGGTTATAATCACTTGGAACAAGAGAGCTGTGATGCCCATTGTGGAAGTGACACAGAGAGCAGGGGATGGCGCACGGTGCGGTGCCTGTCCCTACCTCCTCCACAGGCCCTCAGCTTCCTGCTGTGGCCCTTCCCACGTCAGGGCCAGTGGGGTGCCAGGTATGAAAGTACAGAAGCGGCAGCTGCTGCCTGAAGCCTCCCAAGTTCCCCCAGCTCATCCCCAGTCCCCCCGCCCCTTTCCCGATTTCCCCTCCATCCACCCGCTTGAGGGGAACCCTTGGGGTGGTGCGGTTGGCTCTAGGGCCCTGTCCCGTCACCAGCGTGACTGGCTTCCAGTCTGATTAGCTGAAGCCCGTGCCATCCTGCTGCTAAATAACAGGGGTCACTGTAGTCATGGCCGCAGCCACCGCCCACCCAGGCCCCTGCCCTACAAGGACCCCCGTTACCTTCGTCAGCCATTTGTTGTAGAAGGTGATGCCGATGGAGAAGCAGTAATAGAGGAGGACCAGCCCCAGGGTCAACAGCGCCTTCCACACAAAGGCCACGTCGAGGGCCCACCTCCCCATCCGGGGAAGCTGGGCAGGTGGGGGTGGGCACCTCTCCTGAAGACAGCGCAGGAAGGGCCGGCAGAGCTGGGCCACAACGTTCAACAGGAATGCTGCCCGGCCGGAGGCGTCCTCTTCGCCTCCATGACTCAGAATCGCCCGCAGAGCCCCAGGCAGAGTCCTCACCTAAGGGGCTGGTGGCCCGAGCCAACCCTCTCCATGATCAAGAGGATGCACGGCTCATACGTCCCCAAGGCAGAGGCTAGAAAAATGGAAAGAGGGCTGCCCAGGGCTGCCTGACCGGTCCACCCCACCCCTGCCTGCAGGGGGCAGGCCAGAGCAGACCCAGTGGGAGCAGGAAGGGGCCCACGCCCGGCACAGGCACTCACAGGCCCCCAGCCACATCCGCTCTGTCGCCTCAAGCTGCTCTCCATGAATTGCTGCTGAAGTGACCTTTTAAGAAGGTAAATCTGATCATGTCAGATTAGATGTCAGCCCTTCAGTGGTGCTCAGCGCTCTTAGGATAAAAACCAAAAGCCTTCCTGTCCACTAAGAGGGCCTGATCTGTCCCTGCTGGGCACTCTGTCCCCATCCCACCGGCCACCTCAGCTCCCCCAACACACAGGCCCCTTCCTGTCACCTGAAGGAACGGACGCACCGCCCACCCTCCGTTCCTTTCTCAGATGATCCTAGTCAACTTCAGCTCAAATGCCACTTCCTCGGGGACTAACCCCGATGGGGGTGCTCTCACACCCCCACTTTTCCTTCAGTGCTCTTGTGTGGGGCATGGTCACCTGAGCGATCTGTGTCCCCTGGGAGGCTGTGAGCTCTGGGAAGACAGGGAGCACCGTGCCCATGTTAGTCTTACGCCCACGGGGCACACTGTGAGTGGTCCATATGGTTCAATGACTCAGTGCAAAGAGCAGACACTTGGTTTTAGGGGCCGATCTGGTCTCTGAGGCGTTGAAACTGGAGCAGGAAAACAAACACCTCCTTGCCCCCAGCCTCTACAAACACTCCCCCAGGGGCTGTGCTGCCTGCGGGTCTTGCCCAACCACACGGCTCCTGGCCTTCCTATCAAGGCGGCCAACTCCAGTGAGCGTCCAGAGCGCGTAGGCTCTGCGGGTGCCGGACGGACCCAGCTCCAGAGCCATCCTACCTGTTGTTTCATCTGTGTCCCTTCGGTCCCCATCTCCTCCTCGGAGAGGTTCCCAATCTGCTGAAATGTCACCTCCTTCCTGAAGCCTTCCTAGAACCATCTGCTCCGACATCTACTTTCCCCACCCCCAGGCCTTTCCGAAAGGAGGAACTGTATTCAGTTCTGTACATGGGAAGCTGGGTTATTATTTCCCCTCCCCCAAGGCGACCTGGGAGCCTACACAAGGCTTTGCCCAAAGGATACCCCAGGGGTATCTGTTCTCTCCAGGGGAACTTTGGAAACCTGTGGTAGTATTTGGGGAGATTCTCCTAGCTTTTTTTATTCAAATTTATTTATTTATATTGAGACAGAGACAGCACGTGAGCAGGGGAGGAGCAGGCATACCTGAATCTAGAACCCAACTCTGTGTATGTGTGGTTTTTATTTTTTAAACCTTTTAATGTTCATTCAGTTTTGAGAAACAGACAGAGCGTGAGTGGGGGAGGGGCAGAGAAAGAGGGAGACAAAGAATCCAAAGCAGGCTCCAGGCTCCCAGAAGTCAGTACAGAGCCCCACACAGGGCTCGAACTCACGAACCATGAGATCATGACCTGAGCCGAAGTTGGACGCCCAACTGGCTGAGCCACCCAGGGACCCGTGTGTGTGTGTTGTTAAAAGTAAATTCTACCCCCAATGTGGGGCTCCAACTCACGACCCTGATATCAAGAGCCGCACGCTGTGCTGGCTGAGCCAGCCGGTGCCCCCAGGCCCCAAGTGTTTCACATGTGACACAGGGCAGTCTTTCCGTGGCTCCGCTATGCACTGAAATTCGTCTGCCGTGTACGCCGAGGAGAAACCGCACTGTTTCTGATCAACAGTTTGGAGAAACCACGCCGCCTGCAGCAACAGCACACGCGTGGCTGGAGCTGCTGCGCTCCCGGGGGTCCGTGCAGCAGCGAAAGCACGGGCTGCTTCCTGGCGGCTTGCAGCACCCTTGGACCCGGGATCTTACACACCGGAGCATACTTTACTGTCGACTACCTTTTATCAGTAATAAGTTGACATCTCCCCAGCGTGTAGCCCTCCCTCTGACCTCCCCGTCAACTGGAGAGGAGTAACCGATGGTCGATGGCCGGCTGTCTGTCCACATCTGGATGCCGAGGATCTGCACCCGCCCCTAGCCCGCCCAGCACGGACTTCCCAAGAGTGGTGTCGGCCAGTGACCCCTCCATTCACCTTGGGGCTCAGGCCAGAAAGCTTGTCCCCAGCCTGATTCCCTCTCCTTCAGCCCACGTGCAATCAGCAAGTGTTGTCACGTCGGTCTTCAAAAATATCCCCAGCCTGGTCACATCTCCTGAGCTCCACCACTGCCCTCCAGGCTGCCATCCTATCCCCCCACCCCCACAGGACGCACACTCTCTTGCACCGCTCCCCACCCCTCCTGCAGCCAGGGTCCTGCCTGCACAGCTAGAGTGAGGCTCACGGGCACCCAACCTACACCTGACAGGTCGTGCCCTGTACTCAGGTTTCCCAATCTTGCCATTACTGATATGTGGGGCCAGATAATTCTCTGTGCCCTGGAAGATGTCTAGAACGTTCTTGGTCTCCATCTACTAGATGCCCGTAACAGCCCTTCATCCTCGTCCCCAGCTGCGACAACCGAAAATGTCCTCAGACATGGCCAGAGGTCACGGGCGGGCAAGACCGCTCCCTGCTGAGAACACGCATGCTTACAGCGCACAGGCAGCCACAGGGCATTACACCTTCTGGCTCGTGCTCCCCCCGGGGTTTCCCATCCGTGGCTCCCAAGCCAGGACAGTCTGCACATTCCGTGAGTCAACCTCTTGCATCTTCTGCTTTTGGTGCAGTTCCCGTTCCAATGCCGCAATCTGTGCACCCCCACCTCCCAGCTCCGTTCACAGCCTGCTCTTCCCTCAGCCAGTCCAGATCCCCCACCTCTCTCCCAAAGTCCCCATGACTGCCCCAGCCTGCAGCGAGCACTGTCTCCAAATTACCAACACTCACTCTCTTATTATCAGTCACCTGACCCCAAACTCAGACTCAGACTTCAGCCAGAAGGGCTCTTGGAAATCATCTGGCCACTTACTCAATGTGCATGCATTAAAAGCCACTGTATATCCTGCAAGGTAGATCAAGATATGCAACTGATAAAGTCCCCACCTTTCTTTTATGATAAGAGAAACCAGCCTTAAAGGGGCAAATGCTCTTTTTCAAGTCACAGTTGCCAAGAAAGGAATTAAAGGGATTCTGTATCGGCCTCACTTCTCCCTCAGGGGGCAGCCTGGCTGGGAGCTGCAGCCACACTGCGGGGAGCACCGTAGCACCTGGCTCCCCTCAATCTCTGTGGCTGTAACATGGCAGAGGCCGTGCAGTTTAGCGCCTCCAAGTGTGGGCCTGGAGTGAGAAGGACCTGGGATCCAGGCCTGGCTCCTTTACTACTTCGTGGCCTCTGAATTACCCCAACTCTGGACCTCAGTTTCCTCAAGAGTGAAGGAGGATAAACTCATCTGCCTCTTGGGAGAGGAGTCAACGGCACAGCATCAGGTCCAAAACCTGCTGCTGGCTCGCGGCAGGGGCTTACACCTCCTCCTGGCTCCTTTACAACAAACTGCCCCAGGGCCATGTGCACGTCACCACACCCTCCTCCTTGCTGCCCCTCCGGGGACCAAGTCTCTATTGTGCACCTTACACAACCGGCCACCTCCTCCTCCCGGGAAAGCCTTCTACTGGTTGCCACACCACCGTCTCCGGCTTTCTTGGACTCCCTGCCTTTTCTGAACTCCCTGCCTTCTTGGCTGGCTCCTTCTCAACAACCAACGTGGAAAAGTGGGCTGCCTGAGCGTGGGACCCTGGCTTCTCTTCTCTTCATTCTCCCTTGAGTAATCTCATCCTATCTGATGGACATTTTGGGGTTTTCTAAATCCTTTTCATTGGCCCTACCCTTTTTTGCCGGCTCCCAGGCAGGTACGTCTAACAGTCTACCCGGTAGCTCCCATCGACGTACCTCAAACTGAAGGGGCCCCCAACCTATCCCGCAGTCATTACCAAAAGCCAGCATCACCCACCTGGTTACTTAAGCCCAAGCCCCCAAATCAACGACGAACTCATCCTTGACCACTCTTTCCCTCCTTCCTCAACTATCCCGTGTGCTCCTCCTCCCAAAGCCCTGTGGACCAGCGGTGTTCGCCTCGGTGGGGCCGACCTCTCAGCGGCTGCGGCAGTCTCCTAACAGGTGTCTCCGCTTCCTCCTCCCGACAGCAGCCCGGAGTCCAGGAGGCAGGGCAGCAGGAGTGAAGGCTTAACACTCAGAAAGCACAGCACGCCCTCCCCGGGCGAAGCCCAATCCCTGAGCCGGCCCGCGAGGTGGGCCTCCCACCATCTGGCCCCTGCCGGTGCCTGCAACCTCACTCTCCCACCACCGCCCGGCGCCTGCCACGCTGGCCCCTGGCCGTTCGCCAAGCCCATCACGCCCGGGTCCGTCTTCGCACTCGCCATCGCCTCTCCCGAGACCTTTGCTCTGCTGAACCCTCCTCGAGGGTCTGGCTCCTGGCACCTCCCACCACCTGACGTTGCCCTGTTTGGCCACGTGTTTAGTGCACGCCCCGCGCCTCCCACCGCACCCCGGGCTGCGGCCTCTCGGCGGCCTGGGCCACGTCCGCGCAGGCCCCGCCTGGCTCCGGCCCCGGCACGTCGCGCGGGGCCCAGGAGGCGCCGGGGAGGCACGCGCGGAGGGCGGCCGGGCAGGGCGCGCCGAGGCCCCGGCCCCTCCACGGCGCGGACCCTGCGGCCCGGGAGGGACAGGAGCCCGGGCGTGCCGCGGCGCGCACAGCCCGGCCCGGACCCCACCCCACCGGCCCCTGCCCGCCCTCCCCGCCCTCGGGAGCGCGCGCACGGCCCGCGGCGCGCCCAACTCACCTCGGTCCCGGCAGCTAAGGTCCGGACCCTCCCGCCGGAAGTGCGAGGCCGAGCGCCGCCACGAAGGGGCTGTACTTCCGCCAGAAGCCGCCGAGGGGCGGGACCGGCCGCCGGCGGGGCGGGGCTCCGGGGGTGGGCCCTCCAGCCTTGGCCGCAGCGGCCCCGCGCGGCTTGCCCTCGAACCCGTCGTTGAGCAGCCCCTCGCGGTGTGGTTGCTTGCGTTTCCTGCGGTCAATGATTGGCCTTGCTCTGGAGCCCAGTGCCTGCTGGGGAGCCTTGCGCACCGGGGGTAGCCAGAAAAGAGCCTCCTGTTTACTTCTGCTGAACAGATTAATTGACCCTATTCCAGCCCGGTGCTGTGCTACGCAGCCATGGAACCACAGAGATAAATCTCTCACGGGGGAGCTCAAGTCAGCTGGGGAGTGAGAAGTCAGGGGCATTACACTTTAGGACTTAGAAGATCCATGGGAGATGATAAATAATAAACATTTATAAAACATTTTGTGTGCCTGGAACCTAAAAACATTTTTAAAAGTTTATTTAGAGAGAGAAAGCAAGTTGGGGAGGGGCAGAGAGAGGGAGAGAGAACAAATCCCAAGCAGGCTCTGCTGCCAGTGTGGAGTCGGATGCAGGGCTCGAACCGTTGAACTGGGAGATCGTGACCTTAGCCTGGGGGAATCATGACCTTAGCCGAAATCCAGAGTCAGATACTAAACTGATTGGGCCTCTCAGGCACCCCTGAAACTTTTTAAAAATGTTTATTTATTTTGAGAGAGAGAATCCCAAGCAGGCTCTGTGCTGTCAGGTGGGTTCGGAGGTGGAGCTTGAACCCACAAACCATGAGATCATGACCTGAGCCTAAATTGAGAGCTCAACCCACTGAGCCACCCAGGCACCCCCTGCCTGAAACTTTCTAAAAAGAATTAATCTCAATTTCAGTAAATTGAGGAGGCGTGGGGAATGTCCCCGGCACAGGAAATAGGAGGAGAGGGGGAAGGCTGGGGCCTGGCCTGAAGGCCAGTTGTTTATAAGGAGAATTAACAAAAGCTACGGTCGGAAACATAGCTAGGGGGCAGGTTGCAGCTGTCTCACAAATACCAGCCAAGGCGTTCAGATCTCACTAGTCTTGCAGGATGGATTAGAAGAGGCAGAGCCTCGGGCAGGCTGGGGTTGCAGACTGAGGCCCAGAGTAGGGCTTTTTGCCCTCTCTTCCCAGGGCCTCCTTGGCTCGCTTTTAACACTGGCTGCAAACGTGGATCCTTGCCTGTGACTCGGGTGGCCTCCCTGGCCCCTTTGAAAACAAGGCTCAAGACCAAAGCGTAAGCAGCGCATTATGCACATTATGCAAATCACTGCCGCCCCCGGCCACCGCCAACCGCCATCACGCAGGCACTGGTTCTAAGTGCCTACAGTGGCACCCTCACTGCCCAAGGTCTTGGCTGTAGTTAGTTCTAAAGGCCTGCGCTGCATGCACTTTCTATGCCTTTTAAAAGAGCTTGTCCTCGCCCCTTTCTCAGAGAGAAGAGAAAATATCTATTTTCATCGCCACCCTCATTCAGGCCTCCCAGCTACCAAGGCTGAGTTTTGGAGCAACAGCCTCCAACGTCAGCTGGAAGGTTGGGCACTGAGCACCGGCAACACACAGGGTGAAGAACGTGTCTTCTTTGTAAGTCACACGAGTCTGGGCTGCTCCCTGGCTGTGTCCCTGGCAGGGAGAAGAGGGAGCTATGTTCACGGGGGTGTGCCGTATGCCTTTCCCTGCTGCGCCCAGCATGCCTGGGCAGAAAACACTTTGTCCTGGTGCAACAATCTGGGAGTATCCTTAACTGCTGGAGCCCGCACACGCGTGTGTGCGCGTGCACACGCATGCACACACAAGCACACGCACGGTGAGGGCAGAGTGGTTGGAAAGGAGGAGGGGCCCCTGGGACGCCGGCTGAGGGCTCCGGGTGGAGCTCTCCAAGGTCTCCCAGACACAATGAAATGAAGGCTTGTCAAGGTGAAGACTCCCTTGGGCGGACAGCAACTGCAGAGACAGGGCTGTTAACAGGTACCACAGTTTGTACATGAAAGAGTATTTATTGAAAACATGGTTACCAACAGGAAGCTCCTGGCTGCTCTTGGGTCACTCTCTTGGCTCACAATAGGAAGTGGTTTTTTTTTTTTTTTTTTTTTTGGGGGGGGAGCCTCCAATTTTCTTTTCCCTCCAACATTCCATCCTAGGATAGGTAGATCTTATATAAATATATATACATGTCTGTATAAGTATGGCCTATAGTAAAGAAAATATATAGTACACTCTTCGCGGGGCAGTACCTACCATGCCAGGCTACCAATACGAGTGCCACTGTGTTCACGGGTCCAAGGAGAGGGGCTGGGCGTGTGGTTTACAGGTGCCGCAGCACCAGAGAAGCCCCACTGGCACAGCTGTGGCCTCAGCTAGCTCCCTGGAATCACGGCCAATGGCAGAAACCACAACACAGGGACAAGGGGGAAGGGGAGGCCAGAGGAAAGCAGAGTGGAGAGGGCTGTGTCAGGCGAGGTGGGAGCTTTCTCTCCAAGGAAGGAAACAATGAAGATGTCCAATGAAGATGTGGGGGGAAGGGAGTGGACCCTAGTGGCCTCACCAGCCTCGGCCTGGGGCCTCATCTGGGCTCTCCCCGCAGACCTATTTGAGACTAGAGGGTGGGACTGAGCTCGCACGTCTTTGACTTGCCAGGATGAGAGGCTGAGAGCTTGTAGGGAGAACGTTCCACCTGCCCAGACAACCGTGAGGGCAGGAGAGATCTGGTGGCTCCGGAGACCAGATGTCAGAGCCACACACCTTAGCATCAGCGGTCCGCTGGCCCCGAAGGAGGCCGGAGAGAGCCCTCACGAAGGCGACAAAAGCAAGGGCAAGGCATCTGCAGCCAAAGGCTGAGGCCCCCGCTCGGATCGGAGACACAGGCATGGTCACCCACAGGCCGGCTCTCTGAGGCTCTCAACACGGCTGGAGCGGCAAATCTGCAGGCAGCCCTTCTGGGGCTCAGCTCCCGCCCACAGGGGACCCAGCCAACTGGAGAGGGGCTCAGGCAGGAAAGGGACTCTCGTTAACTCCAGCCTGAGCAGTCCCTGGCTGGGGAGGCAAGGGCGTCTGCAGTTCATGCCTCGCGCTCTGATCCCAGGCTCCGTGGTGACAGGGGCGGGCAGAGCACCCCTGCCTTCCTGACTTGGAGCGGGCGGAGGAGCCGAGAGGAGGCTCTGGGCGGTCCGAGGTGAGGGGGAGGAGCGGCTGGCATTTACTGGCCACCACAGTCACTACAGGTTCTGTACAGGCAAAAGGCAAGGCACCAGACTGTAGGTGTTTCTCCTGGGCCCAGATCCCTCTCTGGGGACCACGGAGCCTGGCTCCTGGCTCAGCCGTAGTGATAGACAAAGTCATAGCTGCTGGGCTCCTTGGGCACTGGTGGGGGCGCCTCCGGAATCTGGATGTTCTCCAGGTCCAGCAGCCGCAGCTTCATCTCCATGCTCAGCAGGGTGTCCAGGTCACTCTTGGTCAGCTCGCTGGACATGTCCTTCCCCAGGAGGGCGCTGAGCCCATCGATCCAGATGCAGTACTGTGGGGAGCAAGTTGCAAAACGTCACACGGTGGCCCCTGGTCAGCAGGAGGTCCTGCCGAGGTCCCTGTGCTGAGAGGACTCGTAATAGCCTCTTCGGGCCCTTCTTGGGACAGACAAAACCGATTTGGGACAAGACCAAAGATAGGCTGAGGCGATCGTTCGCTTTCTCAAAGAAACCTTTTGGGTTTTAGGAGGGATTTACATTTAAGCTTTCTAAGATGATCCGAAATAGGGTTTATTTTTATTCTTTTTTGAAATATAATTTCTTTAGAAGTTTGTAAAATTTATTTATATTGAGAGAGAGTGTGTATGTGTGTGTGTGTGGGTGGGAAAGGCAGAGAGAGAGAGAGAGGGAGAGAGAATCCCAAGCGGGCTGCACACTGCCAGTGCAGAGCCTGATGCGGGGCTAAAACTCACGAACTATGACATCATGAACTGGGCTGAAACCAAGAGTCAGACACTTAACCGACTGAGCTACTCTGGTGCCCTTGAAATAAGTTTTTTTTTTTTTTTAAGTTTTGTTTATGTAAGTAATCTCTATACCCCACGTGGGGCTCAAACCCATGACCCCAAGGTCAAGAGTCACATGCTTCTCTGACCGAGCCAGCCAGGTGCCCCCAAATATGATTTCTACAAATGCAGCTAATGGAGACAGCAAAACAAGACCTGAGTCCTGGGGCATCAGCTACCTGAAACTACCCAGGAAATTAGCATGGGGGAGGGGATATATATGAGGTGAGAAAAGCAGGATACAGAAGGAATCACTGTAGGATCTCAATTCTGCTTCAAAAAAAGTAAATTAAAAAAAAAAAGCTCAGTCAACAAATGTTAAAAATAAGTGCTGGAGAAACTGAACTTGAGGGTCCCATGATAAGCAGGAATAATAGAGAATTCTCAGGCCGTGCCTCTCTAACTCCACCTGTTAGGTCTTCTTCCACGCCTTTGCTCACCTGTCTCCCCACCTGCTGCTTCCCAGCAGAACGCCACCACCGGCAGCTCAGGGCCTGCCTAAGCATCTCGTCTTCCAGAAGCCCCGCCTCCAGTTCCCCTCTGATTCCCGTGAAGCTCAGCAGACACGAAGGGCTCAACCACAGTGACTCATTTCACATGCAGTACCTTCTAGTGCCGAGCAGTGAGCGCCGTGTCAGCAGGACCAGGTCCGTCGGGCCCCCGAGCCCAGGCCAGACCCACCACCACAGCTGCCCAGCAGCGCTGAGCAGGGAGGACCTGTCTAGTTCGCTCGGGCAGGTGGCCACACAGAGACTGAAAATGGGGAGACTTTTTCTCATCTAGACAGGTTAAGTTATCCCCGGTGACCCTGTCTTTGTAATGACAACTTGGGGCTACTCCTAAAGTGCTACCCGGGGAGCCCAGCGCATAGGGACAGACCCCAGCCTGGTGGGTCCTTGGTGCCAAAAGGCCTTCGTGACATGCTGTGGTCCCCTGCCTTCAGGGGGCCGTCCCTGCTCTGCCCACTCCTTCCCATCAACTGAAGAGTCATAGAGAGGGCTCCACCGTCCAAAGCGGCTCCACGCTGCTCACCTCATACTTGTTAGGGGCGATGAAGTTTAAGGTCTCATCGGGGTCATACAGGATGGAGAAGGCCAACTCCAACACCTCCTGAAGCAGAAAGGGTTTCAGTTACGTGGAGCAATGGGATGGCCTGGGCTTAGCACACCAAGGTCATGGCCGAAGTCCTAGTCGCTCGGCCCCATCGCTGAACATGCTGATCCGAAGGTGGTGTCGTCAGGCCCCAGGATGCGTGCCCCAATGTGGCCGAGACTCCCCTCCCACATCACGCCTAAGATGGGGATGCTGCTAACAATGGGGAAAAGTCATTTCTCACTGCTCAGAACCCCTGAATGTCCAAGTCCGTGACTGTAGATCACCTTCGGTTATATATGTTGGTGATCAAACAGAAAGTCTTAACAGGCTTTTTAAACTTGATTTTTTTAGTTTTTTTTTTTTTTTTTAATGTTTATTTTTGAGAGAGAGACAGAGCGTGAGCAGGGGAGGGACAGAGAGAGAGGGAGACACAGAATCTGAAGCAGGCTGCAGGCTCCCAGCTCCGAGCTGTCAGCACAGAGTCCAACGTGGGGCTTGAACTCACAAACTGTGAGATCATGACCGGAGCCAAAGTCGGATGCCTAACTGACTGCGCCACCCAGGTGCCCCGAGTCTGAACAGTTTAAAACCACCACAATGGTAACAAATCGTGGCCAAAGATGGGAGGATTTAGGCGTCAACAACACAAGTGTAATGGAATGGAACAAATATCTGCTTAAGTCTGAGAGTTCACAATAACACTAACAATACACAGACACAAAATTTGTCACTGTGAGAACCAACATATTGTTTTAAAAGTAGGTACTTTTATAAAAGGAAAGAGTCAAGTATTTATCCTCCTTTCTTATGTAAAGGGGACCACTGGGAACCCACCTGTAGACGCTGGTGAGTTTCTCTTTAGAGAAGTAGTTCAGCTCATAAACGAAAAGGAACGACTGCAAATATTAATTTACTAGAGGAATGAGGCACTCAGCACTAACTGTCTGCTAACATCACAAAAAAGAGAGACGATCACACATCATGTGTCTCTTGATAGAACATAATACTGCCTAGGAAGGAGTCTTGCCGGAAAAAAAAAAGGGGTCAGACCTGAACCGGATTGAGCCTCCTCCTAGTTGTCTCCACCAGCATATAGATCAGGGATGGAGGGACAAGTTTAACTAAGCCGTGGGGAGACAGTCAGCAAATTTCAGACTCTGGGAAACTACCAAACAAGCAACCTGGTTTCTCCCACTCTGCAAAGAGTAGAACAAAGATGCAAAAGCTAGAGAGGAACTCAGCAATCAAGGAACTTCAAAGAATAATCGCGACGTGCAGACGGTGTCTGGATTCTGACTTAGCGGACAGAACGGGTGTGAAGGTGCCTAGGGGGCACACGTCAATGTTTGTATGTTTTTATACAGAGAAATTATGCTGTTATAAGACAATGCAAGCATCTATCTGATATTAAATAACAACTTTTAATTTCTTTTTAGGTGTGATTATGGTAAGAGAGTCCTTAGAATTTACAGACCCCCTTCTACACATTTAAAAGGAAAGGAGAGCATAACTTGAGCTTGTTGAGGGTTGTTGAGCCGCAGGGCTGCTGAGGCTGGGTGATGCGTGTGGGGAGGTTCTATCTGTTTCTGTTCTGTCCCTAATAAGACCTGTAGGAATAACTCAGCGGGAGAGAGTGGGCGGAAGAGCGTGCCCTGGGAGCAGCCTTCCACTCACCTTGTTCTGTTTCAGAGCGCTCTTCTCCTTCATGTGCGGGCAATCTTTCCCGGTGACAATGGCCTTAATGTCTGCAACAGGAACTGGTAAATGAAGAGAGTTAGTCTGGAAGGTTTAGGCTGTAAATGGGTCTCTGCACCAGTGCCGGAGGGGAAGCCCCAGCCCCCGGACCACAGGGCTTGATCAGCTCAGAGAGAACGGCCTTGGGTTGCTTCCTCCTCCGTGGCCCCTCCCCGGGGGTCACAGCCTGCTGGGCTGCGCCAGATCGGACTGGGGGTCGGTTCAGGGCTTTGGGATGGTCTCCCCAAAGGTCTGGGGCCTCAGAGACAAAGGCCACCAGAGCAAACCGCTGTGCTTACTGTCTGCCAGCCAGTGTTGTAGGTGATATGTAAGTTCATGACTCATTCAATCTCCTTGGGGAGGGAATGTGCCTGTTACTTCCGTTTTGCACAAGGAATCAAGGCGGAGGTGAGAATTAACGGCAAAGCTAGGATTTGAACGCAACACCGCCTTTCACCACAGTCTTGTATCACCCTGGACAATCTACCAAGCCCATTCACATCGGCCATCTCTCGGATTCTCCGAATAGCCCTGGGAGGTAGTCCAGATAAGGATGACCTCTGACAGAGGGAGGTGACAGTCCAGAGAGACAAGTGGTCCACAACCAGATAATTGGCCTGAAACGGCCAGGACTAGAACGCGGGTCTCCTGACATCGAGTGCCGCTACTATGACACGTCAACGGAGAAATGAACCTACTTTTCTCCTGCAGGGATTCGAATGTCACCTCCCCTTGAGGGTTGTCGTCCAAGTCACCATAGTGCAGGACCTTGTGGTTCAGGGCCAAGCGGCAGTACCAGAAACGTTCTGCGACACAAGGGAAGACAGACAAGTGACCAAGGATACCTCTGGGAAAGGCCTGGGCACACGGAGGGTGAAACGATGACCTGTGCCCTGTCCAGCAGGCCCCCTCCCCAGGGTGCTAACTCTGAGCAGGAAGGAGCAGCCCAGGGGCCCGGGACCCCCCTCACCTTGCCTTCGGCGGTTCCCAATCTTCCGGAAGCTGCTGCCCTCACAGAGCCGGTTCAGGCGCTGCTGCTTGATCAGCTCGAGGATCTCGGGCTGGATCTTCTCCCTCAGCTCCCTGCGGGGACATGCACCGGAGCAAGGGGAGGTCACGGGACGGCCCGGGCTCTCATGCCTCCCCCCAGCCCACCGGGTGGCACTTACACGATGGGTGGGGACTGGAAGTCGTCCTGGCTCATCCGCTCCGACTGGCGCAGCCGCAAGATCTCAGAGTAGCTCAGGCTACGCAGTTTGCTCTTGAACTGATCCAGAGAGCTGGGTTTGGAGGGCAAAGCTCGGGTGATCTGCTCTCGGACAACCTGCATGACCTGAGAGGGCAGGGGGGAGATGGGGAGGGGCCTGGCGGGTTCCTGGCTGCCCGGCTCTGACCATGCCCCAGAGGCACTACAGGTACCCGCTGGCTCAGATGGTCCCTGAGGACAAATGCCGCATGGTGACAAACGCACAGGTTTTGGAGGCGGAGAGAAACAGGCTCAGGTCCTGACCCCGTCTCTTAAACTGTGCCTTGAGCAAGTTGCTTCCTATCCAAAGGCCCCCCTCCCCCCATCACTCATCTTTAAAACATGAGACAGGCAGACACATCTTCGGGTATATGCTGCCTGGAGGAGGAGGAGATGCTGTATGGATGCACAGTGCCTGGTACATTGTAGTGGGTTCAAAAGATGGGTAACTTCCTCTAAAACAATAGTTAAAGAAACGGGCCATCACACTGCACGTCTGGCAGCTCTGCACTCATGTGGGGCAAAGTCTATAGGAGAAAAGACTAGAGAGAAACATAAAAATGGCCGTCACTGGGGGGTGCGATTATAGAGAACGTTCTCCTCGTTATACTTTCTAAGTTTTTCACAATGAGAGGAGCAGTTTCTAGATTATCCTAGCTATGGGGCGCCTGGGTGGCTCAGTCGGTTAAGTGTCTGACTTCAGCTCAGGTAATGATCTCACGGTTCATGAGTTCAAGCCCTGCATCAGGCTCTGTGCTGACAGCTCGGAGCCTGGAGCCTGCTTCAGATTCTGTGTCTCCCTCTCTCTCTGCCCTCCCCTGCTTACGCTCTGCTTCTTTCTCTCTCAAAAATAAATAAACATTAAAAAAAAAAAAAAAAGGAAAAAGATTATCCTAGCTTTGGAGGGCCCAGCAGTGCTCGACAAGGAGTGGGTACTTGGTGTGCCTCCGGAGTGAGTACTGAGCGGGTACACAGACCACGTGTACGGCGCAGGTCTACTCCCACCCTCCCCAACGTTTCCCAGCTGCACCAGTGCGTGTGCACAGCGAGTGCTCAGCAACCCACAGCCATCACTGTCAGGCTCAGCCTCTTGCCCTCCATGAAGACAGGTGGGCGTGTCCTGCCTGCACCGGGTACGTGAGGGGCCCGGGGTGCTGACGGCGCAGGTCCCTGCTCCAGGCTGCAGCAGAAGCACAAGCAGAGGGACCCGAGGCTCTCTCGTGCTCCGTCTTGTGATCAGTGTGGCTGACCAAGCGGGTTTCCCAGCTTGGGGGTTCCCCAGGCTCTGGCCCATGGCCATAGACTGTCACGCAGCCACCTCAGCCCGTGGGCACCAGAGCCTGGGGACACCGACCTTGTTGAAGTCCTCGGCTGTCGCCCTCATCTCCTTCCAGGTCTTGTTCAAGAGCTGGATGCAGATCCCAAAGAGCTCCTCAAACGCCCGGTCGTGGGTGAAGAACATCGGGTGGTAGTCGTTGCGGCCCTCGTTTGCTACAGAGGAAGAGAAGCAAGGGGGCGAAGCTGGCCACTCGCGCTCAGAACGGCGGGTCCCGTGCGCCGCAGTCCCGAGGAACGAAGCAGAGCGAGGCCAGGGCGAACGAGGAGTGTGACACGGGCCCTGCCGTCGCTTCCTTCTCTGGACACTCTCTCCCCGCCCCTCACAGGCTCCTCCAGCCTCACCAGGGGGGCAAATGGACAGCGGCGCTCCTGGACACCTTCAATTTACCCGCTCCAAGGAGGCAGTGGCCCCGATTCCCAGAGACGCGCATACGACGGAGCACAGCTCCCACACCCATGCCGAGACTAAGCACAGCAACCGTCCGGTCCCACTGACCCCCAAGCGCCCCGGGGCTCTGATGTCGCAGCGGTGGGACTTACGCAGCTCCCCAACCTGCAGGATCTCACACAGCATCCTGGTGAGCTCGATGGCGCTGCGGCCGAAGGGGCACTCGTGTTTGTCCTCTCGGCTGCTGTTCTCTAGGACGATCTGCCAGGACAGAGGGAGGGGCATTAGGGAGGCAAGAGGCGTAGCAGGGCTGAGCCGGCTGGCCCCCAGCCCTTACCCGGATGTAGGTGTCCTGATGCACTTTAGCCAAGTACAGCATGTTGTCCAAGGCCAGCATTCCAGGAGGGGTCTGGGTGAAGTCCATCGCTGGGTTGATGTGGTTCTGGGGAGATAAGCAAACCCAATCTGAGACTCAGCCCGAGTCTAGCTCCTGTGCTTGCCTCCTTCCTTCCCGCCATCTCCACGAGATGGGGGGCTCCTGACCCTGACCGTGCCGGCGCACCCCATCTCCCCAGCACCCGGCATGCGGTGCGCTGAGGAGGCGGGTGCAGGTAAGGATTTAACTGCATGAACTCCATCCTAAGACTTGGTGTCCGATCCCAAAATATCCACTCCTGCATTTGAAAGAACCTAGCTGCCTTGGTGAGAGGGCTTCTCTTTATCCTCGTGACAGACCCCTTGGGCCCTCCAATAGATGGATTCGTTCTGCGGGGCCAACTGCTGCACAGAAATGTGTAACCTGCCATCACCAAGGCAAACCAAGTGTCAGCCCCCCCCCCCCAACCCCCCACCCCCGGTTCTGTTCCAGGACCTCCGTTATGAAGGGGGATTCTCAGGGCTCTGACTCTCTGGCCTCCTGTGAGGGGAGAAGGCCGGCCAAGATCTGTGCTTTGGGAAACTTACCGTAAATCCCAGCATTTTGTAGTCCTTGGTGTACATGGCTTTGCGCTTTTCAGTCCCGCTCCCGGGGACGTTGCTAGGGTCAGACTCCGCATCAAATGCGATCCTCCTCAGTTCGAATATAATATCTCTTTGAGCCTGAGAAGTCACAGACAGTCAGCAGGTAAAGCAGCTAGCCCGGGGGAGCAAGGGAAAGCAAGAGCAGCTGGACTTCTCTGTGCAGGACTCTGGCCCCGATCAGCCCCCGAGGGGCATCACCTCTACCTTGGCAGGACAGAGGTGGGCTCGGCCCAGAGAGTCACCCAGAGGGAAGCGATCGCAGGGAGGCACGGCCAGGTTTCCCAGGGCAGCACAAACCACTTCTGCAGACACAACAAGCACAGCCCCTGGCACACAGCAGGTGCTCAACGCATGGCCTAATGGAGGAATGGACCACCCCCAGCAACGTGCCATTTAAGCCAGGAGAGCAGTGTACCAATGGGCACTTACCTGGTCGTTGGGGTCCATCTTGGTCATCATCCTTTCTTCCAGAAGGTTAAAGGTCAGGACTTGCAGGACGTACAGCTGATGGGCCATCTCAGTTTTGATTGGGCGGTTCCCTCGGATCACATGCTGCAAAAAGCAAAGGCGGGGGCAGAGGGCTGAGCTGACTTTCTTCTGTGGCAGAGTCACATCCTCACTGGTGAAAAAGAAAGCATGCCGGGTGGGGAACAGGGTTCCCTCTTACACTCGGAACTTTGAGACTTGGTGTTCTAGAAGGGATGGAGCATGAAAGGGCTCGATTCAGGCTGAGATGATTCACTGCGGGACCAAAGGGCACAGTCCCTTTGTCTGCATTCCCTGGGGAGGGAGAGTGCAACCAAGGGCGGAGGCTGTACCCAGCCACGCCAAAGATGAGGGACGCATCCGGCTAAGATCGTGATGCAGGGCGGGGTGCCTGGGGAGTTCAGTCAGTTAAACTTCTGACTCCTGGTTTCAGCTCAGGGCATGATCCTCAGTTTGTGAGTTCAAGCCCTGTGCAGGGCTCTGCGCGGACAGCGCGGGGCCTTCTTGGGATTCTCTCCCTCTGCCCCTCCCCTACTTGCGCACACATACTCTCTCTCTCTCTTAAAATAAATAAATTAAATTTATTTTAAGAAAAGATTATGGTTCAGGGCTCAGCAGCTGGACCTTCCTCCAGCTGGGCACTCAATCCAAGACAACAGACAGTGTGCGGAAGACTCCACCCTGTTTTTCCTTAGAAACATACAATGTTGTGGATAGCCTCACCAAGTACAGGCTTTAGGAAAGGTCATTTTCAAGATAAATAAATAATTTTTTTAAAAAAACGTCATTTTCTTCAAAGCATGTGGAGACACCTCACAAAGGAGGGCATCTGATGCTCCCTGTCCACCCCCAACGCTCCCCACCATCTTCTCTTGTCACTCTGTATATACCCCCTCCCTGCGTCCCCTGTGTTCTGTCCTGTCCCTTCTCTTACCATGACCTCCACCACGCCCTCTCAGTCCATCACTGCCTCCCTGACCCTCTGACACCCACCCCACTTCAGGCTCCCATCTCCTTTCCGCATGCCCCACCTGTGTCTTGCATGGTACCTCTCCCTGTGTCCCTTGGGCTGACCACTTCCTCGCCAAGTCTTTGTCTCCTACCATCCGGCTCTCACTCTCCCAGTGGCTGCCCTTTCTCGCTCGCTCCCCTGTATTTCTCGCTCTTTCAGTCTTACCTGCCATCTTGAATCCAGTTGTTCTTGGTCTCTCCTCACCCAAGAGACTTTTGCCCAGTTCTTCCCACACACTGCCTTTGTGTCCTCCATGTTCTCTCATTCAGTCTAGCCCTGTGTCTCTGGGGCTCTGCTGTCCAATATGGTAGCCACTCACCATATGTATTTCCATCAGTTAAAATTAATTCAAGTTAAAAATTCAGGTCTTTGGTCACACTAACCACATTTTAAGCTCGACAGGTGCACGTGGCTCGTGGCTACCACCCAATGACAGAGTAGATATAAAAGTTCCATTATCATAGCAAGTCCTAGCAGACAGCACTGTGCTAGAGTTCAGTAACTCTAGAGCCCACCCTGGCTTGAGATCAATGTCTTAGGCCCGTGATGTCCGGTTTGGTAGCCACCAGCCACGCGGGGCTGTTGAACACTTGAAATGTGGCTGGTCCAAACTGAGGTGTGCTGCAAATGCAGAATGTACGCTAGATCTCAGCGCCTCAGCATGAAAAAAGAAAATGCAAAATAGTTCTCATTAATAATTTCTCTATTGACTACACATTGAAATCATAGTCTTTTGGATCTATTGGGTTAAATTAAATATACTGTTGAAATTGATTTCCTGTATCCCTTTCTTGATGTTGCAACTACAGCATTTAAAACGAAATCAGTGGCTCACACTGTTGTTTCTACTGGCTCTAGACTTCCTCTCCCCGACATGTGACTCCAGGGTGTGCTTTGTTCCTCTAGATCTGCACTGCTCCACACGCAGCCACATGCCACGTGTGGGGGCTTTAAATGAAATTTTAAAAAATGACAAATTGAGCTCCCTGGTCACAATTAGACATATTGCAAGTGCTCAGTAGCCACATGCGGCATGTGGCCACCATTCCAGACAGCACTTTCTTTCCTGATACAGAAGGTTCTGCAGACCGTGCCGTTCCTGACCTCTCACCAGCGTGTGTGCTGAGGCTCCCACCTCCTCCGCGTGGGGGCTGCCTGCAGTTCTCTCCAGCTCCCTGCTCATCTCCATCCCAAGGGGCCCACTGCTCCTCCTTCTCCAACCTTAGCCATGGCCCCGCTCCCACCAGCCTCTCATCTCGCAGGGTCTCCCTGGTCCCCCCCACACGCCTGGTTGTGCCCCTCTCTGAGCCTCTTCCCTTCTCTGTGCCCCCTCCTTCTGCCGCTCTAGTTCCTCCCCACCCTACCTGGCTCTCTGCCTTCCTTCCTCCTCTCCTCTCTCCCTAATTCATAAAACCACTTTGAGAAAAGGTTAAAGTTAATGTGATATGGTTTTTATTCACTTTACTTCCCCTTCCTCAAACTTAGAGACATCACTGTGGGAAGGTAATCGCTCCAGCCAGCAACGGCTTACAGAGGTACAGCCCCAGTCTGAGGAGTCAGCTTCAGAGCTTTGACCTGAAGTCTGATTTGACTGCTGAGTAATTGGAGGCTTACACTCTTTGGCCTGACTCAGTGAGCTCCTTGGACTTCAGTGAGCACGCATGAACCATTCTGTAGCAGAACCACTTAAGTCCTGAGTCTTGACCCTGAATGGTCTATAGTGGAATCTTTGCTTATCCCGAGGTTAGCCCAGAAATGGGCTGAACTAATCCTATTCTGGTAATTAATAAGCCTCATTAATTCATTAATTCAGAATGAATTCAGAAGGCCACCCTCGCTCCCACACATGCAGGGGATGGTGTCCAAACAGCCGCTCAGGAACGTGGACAAGCAGGCGCGGGCCCGTGCACTCTGCGTCACTCACGGGCAGCGGGCCAGAGTGGCGTTCCCCCTGCCCCAGTCCCTCCACGGCGGGGTAACTATGGCCAGAGAAACAGCCAGCAGGCGTAAGCTGGTTCCTCAAGATGAAGTTTGGTGGGCTCTGCGCCTTCAGAACAGCCGATCGCTCGACTCTGCAAGTGCTCCGAGCCCATTTCTTGAATTCTATCACCTTTGCTTTCTGTTCACAGTAAAAGAACTGCCCCGGGGCGCCTGGGTGGCTCAGTCGGTTAAGCGTCCAACTTCGATTCAGGTCACGATCTCACGGTTCGTGGGTTCGAGCCCCGCGTCGGGCTCTGTGCTGACAGCCAGCTCAGAGCCTGGAGCCTGTTTCGGATTCTGTGTCTCTCTCTCTGACCCTCCCCTGCTCACGCTGTCTCTCTCTCTCTCAGAAATAAATAAAACATAAAAAAAAAAAAAAAAAGAACTGCCGAGAGCGGAGCGCTTACCACGTGCCAGGCACCCTGGTAAGCGCTGTATGTACAGGAGCCTGTTCAGGCCTCCCATCCAGATGAGCAAATCAAAGTAAATCGCAGTTAAGTGAATTGCTCAAGATCAGATTGGTTAATGGCGGAGTGGAGGCTGGCGACTCTGAAGTTCATGCTTAGAATGATCAAGCCTTTCACACCTGGCTTCCGATTTCTCATTTTGTTCCTTACACTGTGGTCTCCTGGTGTTCCCTTGGTTTTGACAACGGATACGACGGGCTCCTTTTCGCCCAGATCCTCGGCCCTCTTCCCCGGTTCCCACCCCCACCTCCAGCCAACTCTTTCCCACCCACATCCCTGTGTGGGAACAGGGAGCCAGCCCTCTTTCCAGATGCCTCCCTCTTCACCACCTCCCCTTCTACTCTCCTCCCTCATACACCCCCAGAAAACATACACACCTGCTAGTGTGAGGTTTCTAAATGCCAGTCTGGGTATGTCACCATCCGAATTAAATCGTTCAACTGTGCTTGGGAAAACGACTAAGGCCCTATGAGATCTGGTCTGTGCTCGCTCTCCAGCCCCATCCTCTACCCAATCATGCTTTCCTTCTAGGTCCCAGACAATTCTAGCCAGTCCCGGCTGGATTTCCTTTCTTCCTTTCTCTGGATGGCTGATGTAGGCTCAGCCTCAGGACCTCATTCCTCTAGAGGCTTCCTGACACCTCCTTCAAGGCAAGCAGTGCTCCTCCTCCTGACCATGCTCCTCCCCAGACAGTGAAGCTCCAAGGAACCACTGACCGCACACGGCTCTAGCACCTACTAGATTGGACGATCTTTGAGAGCAAACACACCACACTGTCTTGTTCACCCCGAGAGGTGCCCCGCACAGCCCTGGTCTGATGGTTGTTAGCTGAATTACTTTCCTCTTTGGGGCCTATTTTAGCACATTCCTTCTGGAGAAAATTCTGGACTTGCAGGGCAACGAACAGTGTAGCTGGCTCACCTTAGAGCCTCTGCAGTTCCTCATGGGACAGACAGCCTCCCAGAGACAACTCTACTTACAGAGGATTACAAGAAAAAGCTTCCCAGCTTAACAAGGGCTTATTAGCACCTTTCCGTAGGTTCCCTGAGTGCCCTCCCCACTCAATAGTTATTTCAATAATAATACAATTACAGGAACAGTAATTACTGTTAATGCTGGTAACAGAATACAGCTTGTTTGGGGAACTTACATTCAGGATTATGGACCGAAGATGCTTCTGTGCAAATGCATTGGCCATATCCTATTGAGAAAAACAAGCAAATGTAAGGCAAGGTAGCAGGCGCCTGGCTGTGACGACTATCAGGAGGAAAGGGGTCACAGCTCTGAGGCTTTCTCTCTTAAATGTTTTCTCCTTTCAAATACAAAGTGGGCAAATGGAAAAAAATCCACAGACCCACCCAACGTATTCTATACTCTGAAAAAATTCCCTTATACTTTTTTTTCTGGGAATGCAAATTGAGTCACAAAGGGTGTCCCTCCCCCCAATAGCACAGTCAAGCACGTCATCTTCAAAGAGGAACAGACACTGCTTCAGGACGAGACACTTGTGTTTACGGGGATGCCGGGTGATGGACAATGCATACGGAGCACAGAGCAGCGTGATGGTTCCCATGCACCGTTCAGGGCAGACACCCGCCCCCCCACCCCCCACCGCCCCTGGCCCCCAGTGCTGCACCGGCTGGTGGAGCCAATGCTCCGAAGCGGCGAGTAGTCTGTGGCTCACTTCTGACTTTAGACAAGTGCATGGCGGTGCTTTGGGGTAATTTCTCACAATAGGGTCGCCTTTTTTTATTATATTCAGTTCAGATTCTGACAGTAACACTTTATTTATTTGGCACGCTTGGGAAATAAAGTATCTTCCGTAAATGAGTCTTCCAAGGAGTGAGCTTTGAGGCTCCTTTCAGGACCTCACTGTGACTGTTCTTAGGCAAATCCTCTAAAAACACACACATTTCTTTATTTTGGAAGGGACTACGACGATTATAATTTAATCATTGCCAAGGACTTGGCTTCAACAAAAAGAACAGTGTGTGATGATGCTGTAACACCCTGAGGAGCTCTTGACTGTGCAGCTATTTCCCCCTCAACAAAATGGTCCCAGCTCACTGTGCTTTTAATCTTTCTGACAGCTTTTCATAATTCTTCTGTCTCCTCCTTCCAATCTTGGCCATCACTTCTTACCACGTTAATTAGTATGACTTCACTTCCTAAACTGCTGCCTTAATTTAATTTTATGGATAATTCTAAATCACTGGGCCCGAGGGGGCTGTCACGCCTCTCCCATGGAGCGGGATCTGTGAGGACTCTCATTTTTCTCAGAACCGAGGGGCCTTTCGCTCTCGCGTCTCCCCTTCTAGCCATGTTCCAAATGGCTGACACTGCCAGGAACATTAAGTGGTGCTCTGCACCCCCCACGCGCACCCCCTGGCTGGCAGAGGAGAAGTGGCCTAGAAGCTTCTTCGGTGGCCAGAGGAGGCCGGCTTGAGATGCGGTCTTGCTGTGGACAGCTCGCAAAGCGGGTAAGAGGCAGTGGTCTGCTCCTGGAATGTAATGGCCTCAGACCCAAGGCTCCTGTGCGGTGCTGGGGGAGGGCACACGCTCTCGGCCTGGTAAAGCCGACCTCTAACCAAGAAGCAGGCGAGCCCATCCCCCTCTGTCAGCTGTCAAACTCCTACGGTCTAGGGCACGTCGAAAGCAACATGGATTTACCCTCCCTCTCTGCGTACCAGGCTGGGGGCAATGCATCCACGGTATCTTCTAGACTAAAGTCTCAGGCTCTTTCTGAATCCGATCTCCTGGGGCTGACCCACAAACTCACGGAAAGGCAGGTTATAAAGACCGGGCAGCATTCCCTAGGGCGGGCGTCCCCTCCTCCTGGACGTGCCGCTAGTCCCCAGCGCTCCCTGGGTGTTCTGAGGAACGAGATGTACGGCACCCAGGACTCTGGGCCTCACGGCTCCCTGAGCACCCGCATCGGAACGTGAGGTTCCTGCGCAGCTCTGACCTCCCCACCTGGAAGAGGGCTGGGGCCCCTTCCACGCGGCAGCGCTACTTACAGTGACAGGCAGGTCTAGAGGGTTAAGGTGCTTGTCCTGCCGGCAGAAAGCAAAAAGCACAGAGAGAAGCAGATGGAAGAATGAGCTTACATTCAAAACTGGACTAGGAAGGAGGAGGGTCACAGAGCAAAGCCATCCACGACGGACAAGGACAGACAGAACCACAGATGCGCCGGGTCCTCCCACTGGCCCCACTAAGAGCTCGGTACGTGAGCCCACACGGATTTCAGCTTCTAGAGCCCATGGAGTTGACAGAGAATTTTAAACTCTATCTTCTGTGCACCACGTGGGCTTTTACCAGGGGCATCTAGAGTGTCAGCGTTGGAAGGGCCTTTGGAGATTTACAGAAAGAGAGAAGGAGACCCAGGAGGTTAAAGCACCTGCCCGGCCAGGAAGAGCACTTAGCCTCAGGGCGCGGGCCTCAGGTCAGTGCCTGTCCCCGCCCCCGGCTGATTCCTGGTGCCCTCACTTGTAAGACAGGGGTCTGGTCTCTCCTCATGACAGATGACATCCCTGTGAAGTAAACAGGGCAGATGTTGCTGCTCCTATATTACAGATGAGGAAACGGGGTTCAGAGAAGCAGAGCGATTTGCATCATGTCACACAGCTAGTGAGCAGGGAAGAAAGCAGGTTGGAATCCAGGCCAGAGGATCTTTACACATGAAACTTTGTGCGAAGGCCCCCCAACCCTTGCTTCCTTAAGTAAGGGTCTCTTTTGTTTTGGTCTCCTTGGACTTGACAGTGAGGCCTGGAGGGTCTCCTCTCCCTTCTTCTGGACCCTCTAAGCCAAGGTCGACAACTAAGATGGAACTGGGCTTGTCCTCTAGTTGTGTATACGAGGTCTTTCTGGAAGACAGCCACACCTATTTGTCCTCCTATCGCCTGAGCTGCTTTGGCTGTAATGACAGATGGGACAGCTGCCACACAGACCATCGGCCGCAGAGCAAGAAAATATTTACTCTCGGGCCCTTTAGAGGAGAAAGTTTGCAGCCTCCTGCTCTGACCCGAGACCCGCCGGGGCCCCTCCTAGTTCTTCCCTGGAAGTAGGGGCCCTGACACAGAGGGACAGGAGGAAGGGACCCTTGGGGGACACGGCTGCGTTTCTGCTCTCCGCGCAGCAAAGGGTGGGTGGGTGACAAATCTCCTGGAAGAGCTCAGGTTGAAAAGCTTGAAAAGGCAGCCACAGACCTGTCGCTTGTCCTCGGGAGCCTTCAGGAAAAGCGCGTTAATCAGTGCGATGGCGTAGGTCTGAATCTCCTGGTTGGAGCTGTGCCAGTGGAGAAAGAAGGCAGAGGGACATTAGAAGACGGACCAGCGAGAGCAGCCTGGGGGGTTTAAAGCAGCCGCTCCCAGATGATAATCAAATAATCGTCCAGGGCGAAGCCTCAAAAGCCTTAAGAGTGGGCACGTTCCATGACCCGGCCACTCCACTAATAGCCATTTATCCAAAGGCAGCAATCAGAGAGTTGGACGAGATGTACTGGCAAAGGGTTTCATTCAAGTACTGTTAAAAAAAGAAAGAATGGTAAATAATCCCAATGCTCCAGTCACAACTGTTTATACACAGTAGAGTTGGGGGTCACCATTAAAAATCATGTCATAAAGTTCTTCACGTGGGATTTGGGGTTGGGTTCGAAGTGAATGTAAACCCCAGAAATGGTGCAGAAATTATTTCGTGCAGTTGGTTGACTATGTGTTATTTTCGCCAAGGAGGTGAGAGTCTATAACAGTTACTGAATTTTCAAAGGCATATGGCATGCAAAAAGGATTTAGAGCCACCCTTTTAGAAGAAACTTTAACATGGGGAAACGTTCAAGAGATCTTATTTCATAAAAAGGTCAAGGTGCACAAAGCATGCGCAGTAAGCTCCTGGTTTTGTTAAAAAACAAAACAAAACAAAACAAAACAAAACAAAATAAATAGAAACAAAGATAAGCAGGCCGGTCAATCTAATGTAAACGGTACTTATGTCCGGAGGTGGGAACATGGGAAAAGGATTTACTCTGTGCTTTTCTGTATTTTCAAAGCCTCCAACTACAAACTTACTTCATTTTGTTCGGTTTTTATTTTGGAGAGAGTGAGCGAGTGAGCGAGCTGGGGAGGGGCAGAGGGAGAGACAGACTCTTAAGCAGGCTCCATGCTCAGTGCAGAGTCCAAAGCAGGGCCTGATCCCATGACCCTGGGATCATGATCTGAGCCAAAATCAAGTCGGATGCTCAACCGACTGAGCCGCACGGGCACCCCTAAACTTATTTCATTTTAATACAAACGAACGAACTACAACCATTCTCTGGAGTCTTACAAGCCTGGCACTTGGCAAGATGTCTCCATGTGCAGCACTGTGCATTCCGTGGCTCTTTTCTTAGATGAGCTAACAGACTTCCTGCTGCGGGGGGCGGGGGAGGCGGTTCCTGGGGGTCCCATGGAGGCACTAAGTGTCTCTCCGCCCACACAGCAGAGGACATAACTTCTGGTAGTAGCTACGGGCTGCAAATATTCACGGACTGACCCCGAAGAAATGCCATCGTCCTCTACCATCCCTGAGGACGCAACTGGGTCATTCCTGATTCAGAAGCAAAGAAACACAGAGGTGAGTCTGACGTCAGGAAAATCAGAACTCTCCATCTGGAGTTTATAATGTTCCCTTCACTTCAAACAACCTTTTGGCTTTGGGGTATGAAAGCAGAGGCTGAAGAACTCCTTAAAAGTGACAAGGAGAAATGAGAGCTGCTGGCGGGGGGTGGGAGGGTGGGGGTACAGTTTGGGGGCTCAGCTGAATGCAGATACAGCTGCTCTAAACAAGCAAAGCTGGGAGCTCTGGCTTCCCCGGGAACTGACAGGGCATTGCGTGGGCATCCTGTCCGTGCCCGAAGTGCTACGAGGAAGCAAGGGTCAGGAAGGGGTCGGCAGTACCACCACCTTGTCTTGGGGAGTCCAGCCCCCCCAAAGAGGGTGAGAGGCGAGTATGAAGAATGGGGAAGAGAGGAACGGGACTCCAAAGGGCTCATCTGTCTTCTGGTTTTACCGTTTGATAAAACGGTTTAGGATGAGATATGCTTCTTCAAGAGCAAAAACTCCTACCTATCCTGTGCTGGCCACTGTGTTAGACCTTTGGTCTCCTTTGATCCTCACAAGTCTGAGTAATGGGGAGGATGAACCCCAGCCCTGACCTGAAGAAACGGAGACCAGACGAGACAAGGTGATGTGCTGAAGGCAGAGACCTAGTTAGGACGCAGGGGAGCCTGGATCTGAACAGAAGGCCCGAACTGGTGCCCTACAAAATAGCTATTGCTACCCCCACCCCCAGCATACTGTTAGTGTGCTAAGTGTTCATTCTCAAATATTAATTGACTTCTACTTAAACCAAAGCAAGGGATCTAAGAATGACAGTCCCTCTTCCCAGAGAGCTCCAAGTTTAAAATGGGAGGCACGTAACAACAACAGAGGATTTTCTCTAATTATCATAGGTACAAACAGAGACTGTTTGGCCCACAGAGGGGAGAGCATCTAACTCTGTCCGACAGGCGGTAGCACGGGAGGCTGGGAAAACTTCAGTTCAGCCTGAGGGACAAGGGGCGCCACTGAGGATTTGGGCAGGAGCGTGACACGATCGGGTCCCGATCCCGGGAGCGTTCCGGCACAGTGTGGAAGTGCTGATGAATGCGTGAACACGCAGGCCAGTGGCTTGGAACACAAGCAAAGGGGTAGGACTGGGTGACGCGCAGAGAATGAGAGGCAGTGGGGGGGCCGGGGCGGGTGCCTTACTCACACCTGGAGGTGAGAGATGAGTTGTCCCACGGTGATCTCCTCTGCTATCTTCTGGTACAGGCTCTGGCTGTTCAAGACCATGCTCTCCAGGATGGCCAGGGACCTCTGAAGAATTGACACGTCCACCATGGGCTGGCTCACGTACCCTGCAATCTACAGACAGCGAGGGCCAGATCGGTCAGGGGGCCCGGGGCCCAGGAGCGCTGGACAGCCGAGTCCCTGAGGTGAGCCCACGAAGGCTCCCCTCCCTCATATGCCACCCGCCCTGGGGCAGCTGTCCCCACATGGACAGTGGTGTCTGGTTTATGGCCATCTTGGCATGGTCCCTAGGCATGGACAATTCAGTTTCAAACGACAGCATCCAGTCAACTGTGTTTCCTCAAAATCTAAGGGCTCGATCCTTGGTTTTCAAAATGGGGGTTCAGGCACGGGAAAACTGTGTAGGAAGCACAGGCTCTTAACTGAAATCAGGACCTCCTCTGATCTCCACGTGCACACGTACACTGTGCTCCCCCACACGCAGGACAGCAGGGACTCAAGAGGCAGGAAGACCTCAAAGTCTTGTAATCTAACCACTGCCCATCATTATAATCGACACACGCCCATTTCACTTTTGCCGAAATATCTCCAGCATCAGGAAGTTCCCAACGTCCCAAGCCAACGACACGTGTGATTCTAGGTCGGCAGATCTATTGCTCACTGGTTTTAGTTTAATTTCTGGAATTGACACTGTCCCTTCCTATAGAAGAAAGGAAAGCAAAAGCGTACCCTCCCACGGACCAGTTTGATCTGACAGTCCACACCGGCTGCCCTGCAGATGTGTCAACAGAAGGCAGACTGGTACAGAGAAGGCCAAAGAAATGGACATGTGTATCCAGAGAAGGGAGCGCTCGGCAAGCAGGTCAGAGACACTGAGCTCGCGCTGGCCTACAGGCTAGTGTCGCCTCAAGATTTGCTGTCAACCCCGTACCACTCTGGCCACACCCAGTTCTGAGAGCCCAGTTCCTTCTTCGAGGGCAATGAAGGAATTCTCTCAGGAGTCCCAGGAAGGCCCAGGCGTGAGGAGGAAAAATGGGGCCTCGGGGCTAGAAAGCCGACCGCCAGCAGCACGGCGGTGTCACCTTCATGTCTCCATGAACCCAGAGGACAAGGGGCCAGTGAGGAGGGAGGGGAAGACAGAAGGCTGGAGGCCTCACCTGCTTGATGAAGGTGATTGAAACCATGTCCCAGGAGACAATGCCATGGTCCATGAGCTCTAAGAAGGCGGTCAAGGTGAATGCCAGCATCTCACTGTAGCTGAGACACAAACAGAATACACACAAAATAACACAAAGATTCAGAACCAGGGAACACAGGTGTGATGGCAGCCACAATGGGGGACGGACTCCAGCGTTGGCACCACGCAAGGGGTCAGGGGGTGTGGTTATAGGCACCCGTGTGCGGGCCTTGCCACGTGTGCAGCAGATGCTGTCCAGGTGTCCATCCATCGCTGGGCAAGGGCCATGGGTTCGGCTCTCCTTCCCCAAACCGCCTCATCTCCGAGACACACAATCGCTCATCTGCTTCCCAAACCAAGAAAGCTATCAGACCTTAGTCACCCCCAACTCTTGGCAGGGGTACCCAAGGTAGCTTACAGCCCATGTTCAAGGCCAAGAGGCAGCAGAGTGCAGGACAGGGAGTGCAAGCTTCAGCCCCGGGTTCAATCCTGTTTAACTATTTACTAACTGCGCACGTGTTCTCTCTTCAAACTTGAACTTCCTCCTCTGTAACACTGCGCTCATCTCACCGTGTTAACGTCACAGGGCTGTGGCCAGGGCAGGAGGACAAGGTGTGAGAGGCCCTCGCTCACCGCAGGGCTGAAGGAAGATGGGGATTAGAATGTCTTCCCTCCTGTGTCCCTCATCTTTCCACTCACAGCCCTTTATACGTCCGTACGACGCTCTCGATCTAACGAACCCTGTGCCCAGTGGCAAGGCACGTTCGGACCCATTAACGACACTCCTCGTGGCGACACTGCAGTGGAAGCAGCATCCCCATTTTCAAGAGGAGGAAACCAAGGCCGGCCAAATGCCGTGCTCCTGGCAGCCTGCAGAAGTCTGGGGCCAGCGGGAGGCTCCAGGATTTCAGCGCAGGATTTCTGCAAAATCAGAGACTTAAACACCCATGATTAGTTGCTTGGTTTGGCTGAAAATTTCAATAGCTGATCCATCAGCTGAAAGATTTCTGACTGCCTCTCTGCCAGCGGAGACACCAGAGGCCCAGACGGCCAACTAAACATCTGTTCCGCCACTGGGGGCTGGTCACGGCGCGGCCCCCACAGCTCCCATCCTCGCAGGGAGATCACAAGCTGTGGAGCTCTGTCTCCCTGTGAACATGGCTGGTGGGGAGACGGCAAACACGGAGGAAGGCCTGTGCGCACGTGCGTGTGTACAGCGGGGACGTGACTGGACAGGGAGGGAGCAGGGCCGTGATTACAAACAGACCCCCGTTCTGGTCAATAACGGACAGTCTGCTCCCTCGCCTCCCCCAGGCCAATCATTTTCCGTAAATCAACAGATCTGACATGAGCCGACTTCTCTCTTCCTGACTCCTGCAGCCCCCGTTCTACTCCTACGCGGCGTCTGTGAGAGCCCAGCTCGACTATGGGATCGAGGCCCACGATCGTGGGTTCCTCTGGACGGACCCTAGTGCTCGGCATGCTGCTCTGTACACAGAAGGTGCCCAGTAAGTTCAGGAGGCCCGGTGGAGAGGAGGGACGCCCCGCTGAGTGTAGGAGGTCTCTCAAATCCCCCAAGCAAGGGCGCAGTGGTACTCACTGGGACAAGAGCTTGGTCCCGCTCTCCACGAGCCGCGTCAGCACCACGATGCCATCCATGTTGATGAACTCGGTGGCGAAGGTCACGTCGGCGGAGAGCTTGGCCAGCTCCTTCATGGCGTCCAGCCGGGCCTCCATGTTGGATGACTGGGTCCTCTCCATCAGCTGGCGCGCAGCCCGGGACTACGGGACCAGAGACAAGACACATGCCATCTGCGCCTCGCGGCAGGGGACCGCTCCGTGAGTGGCTCATAAAGGCCTTCCTGCGGACATCCAGCCCGAGGCGGAACTAGCTGCTCACGCTGTCTAGGAGTCGCTTAATACATGCTTATTGGATCAGTCAGGAAATTAGCAGGCTGCCAAGACCAATCTGTAGTTATGTGTATCCTTTCTGTGGAACTCTGGTCTACGGATCACAAGAACTTCCCACCGGAGGACTACAAGGGGACTGAGGAGACAATAGTCCGCCACCTCTGGCAAGACACAGAACAGATAATGGCTCAACAGAGGGACATTTTCTGTGAATTTAAGCCGTCAGCCAGTAGACAACGTGGTCTCTTGATGTAATGAGCTCTCAGTCACCAAAGGCAATCAAGGAGAATCTGGACAACCAGGTGTCCAAGATGCCACATGAGGGATTCTTGCATTGGGTGGAAGATTTAATCTGATGATCCCCTCTAAGGCCCCTTTCAATCTGAAAATGAGATAAGCCTGACAATTTTTTTTTTTTTTTTTTGGACTTTCTCTGAAAGTCCGTGTCATTGATCGTCAACCTGACAGTCCCGGGGAAACTTTAAGGATATCAAGGAACTGGCAGCTTTCAAAATGATGGCTGGTGACTAGGCTTCCCCTCACACACCAGCCTTTCCCAGCAGACTGCCTGCCTGCTTTCCGCAAGCTCCGGCCGCGGGCCCTCTTCCTGAGTGGTCGCTGGGCCTTCCTCTCGCTGAGCTTACGAGCTTTATGGCCAGCGCCTTGCCAGTGACCGCTTCCTCATTCTCTGTTTTATGTGTGTTAATTAATATTCTCAGCTGGAATGGAAGAGCCTTGAGAGCAAACTGCTCCCGTGGTCTTTATGTTGTCCTGCGGTGCTGAGCGAGTGACCGCAGCCCTGCTACTGACAAGGAACGGCCGGCTCACCTCTCTCCCCTTGGCCTTTTCTCTTTGATTATGACAGGGACGGCCCTAGAGCAGCCCAGGGCTCTCGAGGACACAGAAACCCTCCGTACTCTCCACAGTGGAGAAGACGCACGCAGCGAGGAAAGGTCACAGGATAGGACAATTTGAAGAGCACTGGTCTGCAGCGTACTTAGAAACTTCCAGCTCCAAATGTTAATTTTCCTCCTGAGACAGCATTTCTGGGCCGCTGCCTCCTGCTCCAGAGAGACGGGCTCCTGGGAAAGCCAACCACTCTGCGCAGGAGGTCTGTAAAACGCTTCAGCACGTCTACGAAAGCAACTCCCAGGCTGTCACATTAAGCTAGCAGAGCTAAGGGGGGAAATGAAGTCCTTAAGATGGAAAGAGTTCGGGAAGCAGGGGGGAGGGCTGGGGGGGGGCAGGAGACATGCTGACGAGAATACTGGCAGGGAGTCAGAGAGCCCTGGGCTTGAGAGGCCGCTCTGCCATGTTTTTTCTCTGTGTGACGAGTGGCAAGTCGGTTAACCTAGGCCTCAGTCTGCTCATCTGCAAAATGGGGCTATCAGGAGTACCCATCTCATTGGTATCTGTCAAGATTAAATGTTACCATATATGTAAAGCGTTCAGCAGAATACAGGCGTTCAGGAACCGTTAGCTGTTACTACTCCGCGTTGCCCTTCTGCTCAGATGGACCAGTCACTCACCTCGCCAAAGGGACACGTGCCACCATGCCCTTAATTTCCTGGCAGCCCTTCTCCACCTAAGTGACCCCCATGCTGACTGTCCTCCTAGGACATCAGACAGTCGAAAATCCCTCCACCTGGGCTTGGGATTCCTCCTGTCCTGACCCAGTAAGGTCCTGTTCCGTTTGCACTGTCAACCTTGCTCTCTTCCAGCTGAACTCATTCTCGAAGACACATTAAAAAAACTGCACCAGCAGTTAGCAAGTAAAGGGTGGAGGAGGTGGGGAACCGGGGTAGATGAGGGGACAAGGCAGGGAGGGAGACATTTCACTACATCTTTGTTGAACTTTTTGATTTTTGAAATACATGAATGTTTTACCCCTTAAAAAAATTTTTTTTAATGTTCATTTATTTTTCAGACAGGGAGAGAGAGACAGAGCAGGAACAGGGGAGGGGCAGAGAAAGGGGGAGACACGGAATCCAAAGCAGGCTCCAGGCTGAGCTGTCAGCCCAGAGCCCAACGGGGGGCTCGAACTCATGAACTGTGAGATCGTGACCCGAGCCAAAGTCAGACGCTTAACTGACTGAGCCACCCAGGCGCCCCTGTTTTACCCCTTTTTTAAAAGCTTTATCTTTTGGGTCCACGTCCCCGAGTTCTTGCCTTCTGTGTCTACTTCCTCTTATGACCAAGCTTCCTGATAGCACGGTAAAGTCAGGGACCTCACTCCGCTGCCACTACAGTCTGCTGTCACCCATCACCCCACCAAATCTGTCTTCACAGAGGTCACCGGGGGCCAACGGGCTTCCCAGATCAACAAACAGCCTCTCTGTTCTCGGTTACTTGCTCTCCGCTGGCTGCAGACCACACCTTCCTCTGTCCCAACACTCCCTGCCCCTTAGCGCCGAAGCCACTTCCTGCTCCTGGTTTTCTCTCTGCCCTTCTGGTTGCTTCCTTGGTTACCTTCAAGGGCCCCTCTGGCAGGAGTCAGGGAGTCACCTCAAATTCTCCCCTTTCCTTCCACATCCGGGATGTCACCACATCCCCTGGTTCACTTCTAAATACTTCTCATGCCCGTCCTTCCGTCTCCACAGTCACTTGCCATCGCGGGCTCATTAGCTTCTTAAAGATTCCTCCTACCGCCAACCTTCTTTTTTTAGCCCATCTTCCACACTGTCACTAAAGTGATCTTCCTAAAATATAAATCTAAACATAATGTACCTTCCTGCTGAAAATCTTTCAATGTCCCCACGTTCCCTTTCTGAACAAAGTCCAAACCCGTGAGCAGGCCCTCTGAGGCCCCCAGCATCTGGTACCCTTGCAGGCCTGGCCTTCCCACCCGCCACTGCGGGTCCTCGGCCACCCAGCACCCCCGCCTTCCCCTAACCACATCTCTCTGCTTGGGATACTTTTCATTTTCTCCTTTCTTCAGCGAATTCCTGCCTATCCTTCAACAGCTGCACTAAGCTTCGCCCTTCTCTGGGAAGGTCTGTTGGGAATCCTTAGGCTGCGCCAGGTGGTCCCTTTTCTGAGTCCCCACAGCTCCCTAAGCAACGGTCTGTCAAGATGCTTGAGTGAGGCCTTTGTTTATTCCCAACGGGCTGTCAGAGCAAAGATAGACTTTTTTTTTTTTTTTTTTAAATAATCTCTACACCCAACACAGGGCTTGAACTCACAACCCTGAGATCAAGAGGCGGATGCTCCACTGACTGAGCCAGCCAGGCGCTCCCTCAAAGATTGACTTTTTAAGCTCTATGTAGTCTTGGTTTTTGGAAAAGAGTCTGGCCTGTGATGGGTGCTCATATAATGTGTTAAATAAACGTACTACTGAGGAGAGCCGATACCTACCGGGGAGATGGCCAGCTGTAAGATGGTCCCGTTCTTAATGTCGCTGCGTGTCTGGGTAGCAAAGAGAAAGAAGAGTAGCTGAGATAAAATACTAGAATTGTGTAAGCCAGGTAAGTCCGTGAGAACTTGCTGTCGTTTTAAAGTAGGGGTAGAGAGCATCTTTGGTCAAGCCTCCTTTCGCGTGCTTCCTGCCCGAGAACGCAGATCCCCCTCCACGCGCCCCGAGCCATCCGGGCGTAGAAGCCACGGGTTTTCCAGCCACTGGAGGAGGCAGGGGCTGGCGCGTCCCTGATAAACAGAAGCTGCCTGCAGGTCAGCAAGGCCAACAGTGCCACCTCCTTGGGTGAGTGAGGCCTGACCCCGCTGCCCGCGCACTGACCTGCTCGGTGATGTAGAGCTGCGGGCCATCTGCATAACGGAGGGTGTAATACTCCGGGTTTGGCAAGGACCACCTGTGTAAGAAACACACAGTACAGGCACTGGGCCCTCCTGCAGGCCTGGCGACAGGCTGCAGATATTCATTTCTGGCAGAATTGTTCAAGGGCTTGGGGGGCCTGTATGGAGGATGGGGGGGTCCCACGGGTTTTGGCTGAGACGCTGAAAAAGCAACTTGCTCGGCCTTGCATAAAGACGGGCACCGCACAGAAGTGGGGCACACAATTCAGGGCAGGTCCTGCATGCCGTCCACACCTCGGCCGGGGCATTCTTGGGCTTAAAGGAAAGATAAAGATTTACAGGAGCTCTTAGGGGCATCCTCCTCAGCTCTACTTCCTTTGTAAGATGACGATCCACAAAAGCCCCATTCCAAGGACCCAGCTAACTGGAGGTGGGTCTGGCCGTGTTCCTCTAGTAGTCGGCCTGCCCTCGTCCAGAACGAGGCCGGTGTCTACTCACCCATCACAAACTTCCTTGATGATGGATGCCAGAGGCCGTTTCTGGAAGAGAGAGAGAGAGAGAGAGAGAGAGAGATCAATCTTTTACCAGCAACCACATACTACTCATGTCAAGGTTCTGATGAGGGCCGCCAAGAAGGATAAACCCGAGGCCTTCGCATGGACCACCTCTCCGAGGGGAAGCCTCCCCGAGCCGGGGAGCCAACCTTCCACAGGGTGGGACAGGCCTTGATGTTCGTTCGTGTCGCCGGCCCTTACCTCTGATGCCGACAGCCCCTGCCCCTGAAGACACCCTATGCCATGTACTTCCCAGAGCTCGCTCCCTGCACCTCTGCTTCTCATTTCAGGTGCTTACCTGGTCGATTTCAAGGAGCTGAGCATTAGCACCTGGCCATTCAATGGCTACCTTGACAATGTCTGATGGCGGTGGCATTGTTCCTGGTGGGTCCTGCTTCTCCGAGAAGCACACACAGACACAGCCGCCTGGAGACAAAGAATCAGAAAGAAGGAAAGAGTCAGAGAGCCTGCCTTCGTTCTTTCACTCAGATGTTTTGGACGATCGGAAGACAGTGTCCAAAGTAACATATGGAAACACTTGGTTGGAATTTTTCTACATCACACCATAACCTCTCCTTGGGCTTTTTGTCTCTTTAGATTAAACCAGCAAGCGGAAATGGGACAAAGCCTATCCATCAACTGCAGATCAGCTGGGAGCAAGATCTGCCAATGTGACACTTCGGTCTAAGGGTCAGGAGGGCCGTGTGGTAGAAGAATGAATTTACTGCAAATTCCTGTCGTGGGGCCTTGAGAGGGAGAAGCGTAGGCTCCGAGACAGATACAGACAGGCAGAGGCTTTTCTCGGTCGAGCGGTTAGCGGATGGAGCCAGCCCACTCCTGTCCTGCAGACATTCTAGCTAGACCCCGGTGGTGGCAGGGCCCGGCCACACACCCTCTCGCCTCCTCCCTCGTCACTGCTGCCAGTGGAAGGACCCCTCAGAAGGACACAATGTGGAGCCTCCTCTGTGTGGGATGACGCAGAGTTCAGAAAATGGGGAAGAGAACTGGGACAGGAAATGCTATTTTAGTCCTTATTGCCAAGGGCAAGGGCTGCTGAGAGCCCAGGCGTGGGGAGGTGAGAACAGCCTTACACAAGGGCCCCTCTCTAGGAGGACGAGGCTCTGGAAGTACCTCTGACCCCACCCCCCAAACCCCATTTGTCTCTAAAATAAAGGAAAACAAATCATTTTGAACAGGCTGGACGATGGGCCCATGTGACCGGTACCCTAGGCAACTCCGCCAGCTTAGCGGTTTTCCAAGTGGTACTGAAAGCATTTTCTCTCCAGGGTCTGATGAAGGGAAGTCACTTGACGGATGGATTATTTCCATGTATATTTACATCCCTCACCTGCAGGTTCAGGATAGGCCTCTGGCTTAATGAAAAAGGCCTTCCTCCTGCATCCCCTAGGCTCGGCCACTCTCCAGTGGTTCACACTTCACTAACGGGGACGGCTCGCCTCTCCCGGAACATGCAACATAGCTGTCGCCAAGCCGTCATTCACGTGTGCTGTCAACTTTCAGGCCCCAGCAGGGATGTCCGTCCTTGCAGCATCGGTGGCACACACGCCTTTGGGGAAAGGGGTCAGAGTCCCTTCCGCCCCCCCCCCCCCACGAGTCTCAGAAAGAGGGAAGCTTCCACAACCAATTTCCTGACGGGGGCAGGGGCGGGGCGGGGGCTGCTCCATAAGTCAACTGTCAAAAATGCCGGCGTTTCCGGAGCACGACAATGAGAGAGGGTTTTCAGAGTGCTTTCACTGACTTTGCGGAGCCCTCCCGGCAGCCACAAGAAGTAGGCAGAATCAGATTATTACTCCTGTTAGAAGATGGCGCAACTGGAGCTCAGAGGTTGGTTAAATTGCCTCAGTGCAACCAGCTCCTAAGTGGGAAAGGAGACAGAACCTGGGGCTAGCTTTGGCCAGCGCTCTTCCCCTCCCCTGAGTGGGCCCGAATCTCTGTTCGCTGGAATTAAATCAAGCCTAAAGGGGTTACAGGGGGCTGGCCTGGTGGTCCCTAAAGCTTCACTTCTGCAGCTGCAAGCGGAATGGTCCCCATGTAATGTGTATGTGCCCAGATACATGATGCACCTCTGGAAACTGCTCCCATTAGACTAGCTCCTGGCTGAGAAGTTCTGCTCCAGTGACACAGCAAAGCAGGGATGGTACCATGGATCTCTGGATGCCTGGGGCAGGCACCCTTATCCTCAGTGATGAATGTGCCACAATTAGGAGGCATGACTGTACAGCTGTGAGATCATTTTTTAAAACTGGCATACAATTTATGTATCATGTATATTTATATACACGAACTGCAGAGCTCATGTATATGCATGTGTGTATATATATATATATATATTAGTACACGTAATTGAAATACACGCATCTCGGGGCGTCTGGGAGGCTCAGTCAGTTAAGCATAGGACTTCGACTCAGGTCACGATCCCGTAGTCTGTGAGTTCGAGCCCCACGTCGGGCTCTGTACAGACAGCTCAGAACCTGGAGCCTGCTTCAGAGTCTGTGTCTCTCTCTGTCCCTCCCCTGCTTGCACACTTTCTCTCTCTCAAAAATAAATAGACATTAAAAAAATTTTTTTGAAACATACATGCCTCTCTCTATAACCACTGCCCAAAACAAGACTTCGAATATTTTCATCACCCTTAGAAAATTCCCTCCTACCTCTTTCCAGTCAATCCCCAACTTCCGGCCCTCCAAGAGGTATCCTTTCTGACTTCTCCTGCCATACATACATGAGCGTTGCCTGTTTTTATACTTTAAATACATGGAACCGAACAGTGTGGCTTTCTTAGACCATTTGTTACTTATTTCAGTTCTTCTCTTTAAAATAGGTGGGCAGTGCAGGTGCAGTAAGTAGCAAGCGCACTGGACTGGGATGACTTTGCTGCTGAAGAAGCAAATGGATTTGGATCCAACGGACGCAGGACCTAGTCACAGTCCCATCCCTAAGTGTTGGCGGGGATGTGTAAGCATCCCTTTCACCCAAGTCTCTACTGGGAGATGTGAGTGTTTAACTAAAGCATGTGTAAAGTGCCTCCTAGTCTAAAAGTCCACAATTCTATTTTTTTAAAAATATTTTTAAAATTTATTTCTGAGAGAGAGAGAGACAGCGTGAGCAGGGGAGGGTCAGAGAGAGAGGGAAACACAGAATGTGAAGCAGGCTCCAGGCTCTAAGCTGTCAGCACAGAGCCCGGCGCAGGGCTCAAACCCATGAACTGCGAGATCATGACCTGAGCCGAAGTCAGACGCCCAACCGACTGAGCCACCTAGGCACCCCTCAAAGTCTACAATTCTAAAGAACTTACAAATCCAAATGAAGACTGCCACCTCAAAGTCCTCACCCAAAGAAACTACGCCCTTAGTTCAACGTTGCTGCTAAGAAACGATCGTTACCTGTTAGAATTTTCTGGATACTGTCTTTGGAGACAGTTCTCAGCCAATCCTGCCCCTTCTCACAAAGCACAGGCGGTCCATTCATATTGAATGACATTCTACCTACCAGTGCCCCAGCTAATGGGACCGAGGTGAACACTCCGCCTCAGCGGACAAATCCCCAATTCTTTCTCTTCAATTCAAAGACACAGGCTAAGGAAGGTGGATCACAATGGGCCCTGGAGCAGAAATGCCGTCGTCAGCCCCAGAACAGGCACCAGGCCAAGCTAAACCCACCGGCAAGCCAAAGACAACAAGATGCAAAAACCAAGAGCTTTCAGAGGAAGCTGTTCTGCAGAAAGAAACCAGGAATGTGTAGATAAGGAGAGGCCAGAAACCAGAAACCACAAAGTCCCAAAAAGAGATGGAAAAAGCCTGATGACTTATCAGATTCCACGGCTCCAACTCCTACCTCGGGCTCTGTGCTGATGGCATGGAGCCTGCTTGGGATTCTCTCTCTCCCCCTCGCGGTCGGCCCCTCCCCAACTCACTCTCTGCCTCTCTCAAAATAAATAAAGAAACTTAAAAAAAAAAAAAATGATGGCACTGAGCAGTCTCTCGGTTGACACTGGCTGAATTAATAAAGAGTGAAACCCACTTAGATAAGTCTGGCGTGTTTAAAACAGACCGCTGATGGGGCACCTGGGTAGCTCAGTCGGTTTAGCAAATGACTTCAGCTCAGGTCATGATCTCGTGGTTCATGGGTTCAAGCCCCGCATCAGGTTCCGTGCTGGCAGCTCAGAGCCTGGAGCCTGTTTCAGATTCTGTGTCTCCCTCTCTCTCTGCCCATCCCCTGCTCATGTTCTGTCTCCCTTTGTCTCAAAAATAAATAAACTATAAATAAATAAATAAATAAATAAATAAATAAAACAGACTGCTGATATGGTGACTTAACAGTAATCATGTTGTAGGTAACAGTAATGGGTAGACAGCCTCTTTATAGTTGATCAATCACTTCTAGGGCGTTATTACAGCAGATGCTCAAAGAACCCTGTAAATCATCCCTACTTCATACAGGTGAGGCAACTGAAGGTCAGATGGATTGAGACGGGTGTCTTCCACACAGCTCCTTCCCACGCCTCCCCTGCCTCCAAAAAAAAGAGAGACATCTTATTAGAAGTGAATCTCAAGGCTGAGTTTTAGGACTTTAAAGTTAGTTCTTTCCCCTTGACATCACACTTCTTTGATGCTGATGACATTAGCTAACAAAAGCATGGTGCTGAGGTGGTATTCTAAGGGCACTACATAGATTAATTCATTTAATCCACACAGCAACCCTGTGTCGTGTATTACTATCCCCATTTAAAAGATCAGACAACAGAGGCACAGAGAAATGAAGTGCTTTGCTCAGTGTCACACAGCTAATCCTAATAATTAGATCCCGGTGGTCTGGCGTGGTGTGAAGGTCATGTGGAAAGCAGGGAGTGCTGTATGCGGCCCACAGCAGGTGTTTAGACAATTGTGGGTTTGCTGTAGCTGGCACCTAAGCAGGCGGAAGCCAACAGACTCATATTAACAAGAGCTCACTGCTCTAACAGGTAACGGTTCTCCACTGTGAGAGCCTCACTTCCTCGTGTGGTACTGGGCTCTTCACAATCCAGCCCGATCCTCCCAGAATACTTGGCATTTCTACGAGGCAGGCCGGGTTCTTTCATTTCTTCTGTACCTTTGCGTGTCCTCTTCCTTCCATGGACCGTCAGAAGAGCTCCTATTCAAACATCAAAGCCCAGCTCAGAGGTCACTTCCTCTCCACCACTCTCAGCTCTCCCCGCTTTTCCCCAGCAAAATGAAACTGGACAGGGCCGCAATGGTCTCTCCCAGCATTCTGTCCAGACCTCTATGAAGGCTCCCGTCCCACCCCATTATAGGTATTATGGTTAGTGTACACACCATGACAACAGTCACGTGTTTACACGTCTCTCTTCCTCACCAGCTCCTCCTCCAGGCCGGGGCACCCTGTAGCTCATGGACCTAGCACGGCAC